GAGATAGTAACTGATGAAACACTGTTGTTGGTGTGCTCTGTGTGTCACACCAGGGCGTGCAGGGGTAGGGATGCTCGCTGGGTGAGGGTGCTTTTGGGGTGCCTTGCCATGGAGGGGATTGGGGTACCAGGCAGTGATGCTCAGTGCAATGCTCAAATGCAGGAATTATCAACAGTGTGCTGATCATCCCTGCATTTGTGTGGTTCAGTGCTGCCAGAGGACATGGGCAGCACAGCACGAGCTCATGGCCACACCTCACTGTCCTGGCACCCAGGGGTGCCAGCCAGGGTCAGGCCTGTCTCGCTGTCTCCAGAATCAGCTGCAGTGTGTATGGGCTGTACCTCCCCTTCTGCATCAGCTACTGCTGGGCTCAATGATGTTTTAAAAACTAAATTCCTCCTTTCAGACTGACAACACAAATCCTTACCCATGGCTCTGCCAAAAATGAGTGGAAGGCAGCAGTGGTGACAGCCGGAGGACTGGGTCTGTTGTGGTTGGTCTCAGGCAGCAGCCACGTGAAGGTACAAATGGCAACCCTGAGGAAAAGTGGAGGAGGCCAAGTTTGGGGATTAATGGTCTGCATCTGATGTTGGTCTCCCTTGCCCCTCTGTGTATCTCATTTTTCTTTGTGATAAGGTATCCCTGCTTCTAGCACTGAGAGCCGTGAGGAAGCATTTGCTGCCTTGCTCAAAAAGAATAAAGAAAAAACAAAGCTCATGTGCATTTGAAGTCCTGACCTGTATTTTATGACTCAGATTCTCCAAGGAGCTTTCCCCATACCTTGGGCACATGCTTGTATGTCTACTGAAGAGCCAGGTATTTGGCTGAGCACAGTGGGGCTGTACCATGCCACATAGGGTCATTTCCCTTCCCTGTCACTAACAGCTTTTTGCAGTCATCTTGCCTTTCCCATCCAGTGTTTGCAAAGCTGTGCCCTGGCCTTGTGCCCAGGGACCACACTGGGCTCATCCTACGCTGGCACTGGGCTGGGAGCACTGGCTCTGCCAGTGGGGATTGCTCTGCAAATTACAGGGTGAGTGTGGGAACAGTGCAGAAAAAACCCACTGCAGTGTCCAATTCTGCATTTCTGTGGTCAGAAAGAGCAATGGGAAAGTAATCTATTGCTATGCCTGTGGCTGTGAGCCAGGATGGGCTCAGTGATGGTGGTGGTGGGGACCTGCAACCCCCAGTCCAGGACAGGCTGGTTGTGTGTGACATACAAGAGACAGTTGTGTCCCTGTGGACAGCATTTTTGGGGTGGCAGAGTCTGAAGCCTCTTAAGACATCCCAAGGTAGCAGTGCTGTGCGGTGCCCTGGTATGCTGCAGCAGAGGATACTCACTAAATAATTCAGAAAGGCCACTTGATCTGACATTCATCAGGTTAGTAGCCCAGTGACCTTGAGGACACCAGTCTGCTGTTGCTGCATGTGGCTCTGCTGTGCAGCACGTTGTCATCAGGAGAGTCAACACTGTCACGTGGAACTCTATTGATTGACAGACAATCAATGCATCAAGATGATAAAACACAGCATTTATGAAACATGGGCTCTTGCAATGATTTGTTAAATTAGCCATAGGTCGAGTCTGTGCAAATGGCAGAAAGTTTAGAGCTGACTGGGTTTGGCTCCTTGTCATTAAAACTAGCAACAAAGGGAAGAAAGATGGTGCTACATTTACAAGAAGAGCTGTCTGTCTCACACCCCTGCATTGAAGCAGGGGCTTCCTGCCCTTGATCTTTATTTTAGTTGCTTTTTACTTGTGGTCGTTTGCTTCATTGCCGGCAGTTGTCAGCATCCATCCCTGTAATGGTGCAAGTCCTTCACCTAACCTTTGATAATGGGCCCGACCAGCTCAGTATTCTCCTTGCTACCTAATGAAACACCCATTTCACCTGCATAATGTGCAGAATCCGTCAAGAAATCTTGTGTGCCTTCTGGAGTTATTCCAACACATGACCTTTTCACAAGCCTCACAGTGGGTAACGGTAATATGGAGCAATTGCCAGCAAACCGGCAGCTTTCAAAGCAGGAAGGCTCATTTCCATTTCCCTGAGACAGTCGTGTGTCCAAACGTTACACAGCTTCTGATCTGATTTCTTGTCTCAGAAGAGGCTGTTCGTTGGATTTTGTGAATATTAAGATTTGCAAGTATTGGAACAAGAGGTCTGTCAGGAGCAATGACAGTCAGAGACTCTGTTTGGAGACACAAAGCTCTTCTGCTCACATCTAGCCCTGCAGCTGAAGTGTTACAGACATTGGTCTTTTACTAATCTTTTACTTTAGTTTGTCATTCTCACACCCATTTTATCTTTGTGGATGAACTTAGACTGAAAAGTTTGTAGTGCCTGGAATGATCCCTTTGTGCAGATGATCAGACGGCCAAGACAGCCAAGCAGAACTCACCTTTAGGGTGGCTGGTTGTGTGGGGATGACACTGCCACGTGCCCTGGGGTGGAATCATGTCAGGCTGGTGCAGGGTGATTGAAGCTGCTGTAGATGGTGGCACAGAGGGTGGGTGTTGTACAAGAAGTGTGGGGTTGGACACTCATGCCTTGCCAACCTTTCCCAAGGGTGAGGCCGGCTGATGGAGACCCTTGGAGCACAAATTGAGAAAAGTATTTGCAGGTAAAGGGCCTTTCCTCCTTGTAAGTTAATGTTGGTAAAGTCAAGCATTCTTATTTGTGTTGGGTGAAAATGAGTGCTTACAGGACGTGCCCTGTGGAGTAGGACGTGTTCCTTGTGCCGTTTGTAGCCCCGAGTCACTGCTGTGTTCTTTTAGGGATTTGTTTCCAAGGAACACACGTCATTTCTGCTCAACATTATCATTTTATAAGCAGGCTTCTTTATTTGCTTCTGCCCAATTCAGTTTTGTCTCATTCCCTTTGTGTTGTAATTAACATGTTCTGAGTGTAAGAGGAAAAGTAAATCATCTTGGGGCCATGGCACATTAACCACAGTGAGGCAAGATTGACAGCCTGCCTGCAGGGCTGATTCAGGCTGGAAGGGGCAAAATGGGCCAGTTTACGAAGCTGAAGGATTAGGGAAGATTTTTCCTACAAGTTCTATTGCTCTTTGTAGTTGGAGGAGTTGAAGGAGACCATCCTCAGCACTTCAGCCATCTCTAGCAGAAGCCCCTGCTCTGTGAAAGGAAGTCTGACGTGGCTGGATGCACTAAGAGTCAGTGCTCAACTCTTGAACTTGCTGCTCAGACTTCATAGAAGTGAAAAAAAGGAAGAGAGTTCAGATCACTGCACATTCTTGGTTTGTCCCACTTGGCCGAGTAAGTTGGGGAGGCTCTTAGAGCTGGGCTGGTTTGTCCCAGCTGCAGATCTCATCCTTGAGATTTTGAGTGTAATTCCATGTAATTAAACCTAATTTATGAGCCTTAATAATAACAATTTAAGGCATTTGAGGCTGCAGAAAGACTCACAGCTGTAGTTTCTGCATCCTTCTGTGTTCTGTAAACATAGCTAATATTGCCAAAATCAAGGGCTCTGAAATCTGGAGTTAGGCATCAAAAGTCAGGAGCGTGCAACAGAATGTTAAGGAAACTTCCCAGGCAGACCACTCAGGAAACTCTCTGGCAGTCACAGTCCCAAGGCCAGAGATTTTGACTTCTGGAACTGAAGTCCCTTCATCGTGGCAGGCTCAGCCTAGAGCCCCACTTGGCTTCCCCACACATCCCACTCACAGCCAGACCAGGTTTCCTCACCGGTTCAGCCACAAGTTTCCCATAGCAGTCTCAGATGTCCTGTTCCATAAAGCCATTTATTCCTGGATCAGCAACAAAGACGTACCCCAAGCTGGTGCCTCTGAGAACCCTCCAAGAAAGGAACTCCTGGGCTTTTATCCTCTCCCAGTCTACCCAGCTACAAGTCCAGCCCTTCCCCCCAGTCATCTTCCGGGTCCTGCTCTCCTTTTCCTGTCCATCCACCTCACTAGCATCACTGGTCTTCAACGCCTTTGTTATCCAAAAGGTCAGCGAATCCCAGTTCCTGCAGTGTCTCTCAATGTCCATTCTCCTGGCAGCATCCTCCATCTTCATGTCCTTTGTTATCCCAAAGGTTGGTAGTTCATGGCCTCTTGTCTCGGGGTCCCACACAGAGTTTAAAGTGCATTTCAGTCTGCATCTCAATCTGCAGTTTGCCAGCCCAGCTACCTGGACACCAGGTGAATTCCTCAACAAGAAGCAGTATGTGTTGGGAAAGTTTTATTTCTTTTCTGTGGGTTATTTTTTTTTTTGAGTCCACAGAAAGGAGTTTTTTTAATTTCACGCACTTTTTGCAAATGCTAAAAACTGAGAAGTATGTTGTCCTCCAGACGACTCGAATGATTCATTTGTGACCACCGAATTCCCAAACAACGAACTTAAAGAGCAGCAGAAGAGATTTGGCAGCGTAGCTCCTTCTCTGCGTTTTCTTTTCCAAGGGTAAGGAAGCACAGGGGGAAGAGGCTTAGCATCCCCGTTGAGGTGGTGTATTCCTGGGGCTCGCAGTACTCACCTGAGACACAGATAAAAAGGTGTAAATCGTTCATCTGTCGTGGCCATGTGAGAGAAAATGTATTAAATATGCAGTGACCAAAATGCCCTGCTAATAACTTGTATTCCCCAGAATATTTAGCCCTGCTGGTCACAGACATGCTGCGTCTGAAAGCCAGTAGGGAATCAAACTAGTGTAGAGGATAATTGAGAAGGCATTGAAAGCCAGGAGAAAAACGATCTGTTGCTCTGAGCCAGCGGATCATTGCGTTAATAGCCCGCGTACCTAAGAAGCGGTACCTGAAGTTTGACAGCGACTTGAGGTTCGGTCAGCGTCAAATAAGAAGGGAAGGATAATTAGTATCTTCACACCATTCTATTTAGGCTGCTGGTGCGCAGCCAACTCTTTGAATTTGAAACACGCAAGCGAGCGCGGAGGATTTTTTTTTTTTTTTTTTTTTTTTTTTTTTTTTTTTCCCATTGCCCGAGCAGCCTACGGGATTTATTGATTTCGGAGAGCGGGCTGATTTCCATGTAAATCCAGGGGCGGGTGGCCGGCCCGGGTGGGATGCGGTGACTTTGGCTTGCTGACATCATTGCTCATTAACATGCAGCAGAGGAGAGCAATGCAACAGCAGAGCCCCGCGCCGCTCCCGCGCCGGCAATTATCCTCCGCGGGCTGCATCGCTCCTCGTTAGTGCCCTGCAAATTGGACATCCTCTCGCCGCCTCCCAGGGTCACGAAGGGAAAGGCAGGCTGGAGGGGGGAGCTGCTGGATCCCTTCGCACTGGGAGCAAAGAGGGAGGGACCCTCCGGAGCCGGGTTTGACGCGAAAGCTGCAGACGCGGGGCAGGAAAGGCACGTTTTTCCAGGGCGGCTTTCCTTGGGGAACGCGCCTTGGTGCTGTGTGCCTGCTCGGAAAGGCTTGCACAGAGCCCCGAGCCGGGAGCGAGGGATGCTCTATGGCACTGCGGTGCTCCGGCTGCTCCTGCCAGCAGCCCGCAGGCTCCGGGCACAGCTAGGACAGCTCCGGGCATCCTTCCCTCCTGCGCGCCCATCGCCAGTGGGAACAGGTAAGGAACTGCCTTTGGCCGGCGACTGCAGATTTGTCGTGGGTTTTTAGAAGGGGTAGAAAGTAGAAGGGAGGACGAGGAGGAGGAATAAGAAGCGTTCTATGGATGCACGCAGTGCTAACTTTGCTCAGTGTGCTGCTGGTGGTGAGCTGCGAGGGACTGCGCTGTTTTTCCAGCCTTTGCTGGTCTCTGTGTTTATGGATGGAAAAGGTTAATTGTTAAATTGTATTTTGCAGCCGCAGGACGTCAGGGTGAAATGCTGATGCTATTGTAATGGAGGTCTCGTTTTAAAAATAATCAGGAAGGCTCAGCTGGCTCTAATAGGAGTTAAAAAATCTTCATCTCTCCGTGTTAATTGTATTGCTGTGGTAAATGCAGCCCCTCGAAGTCTCGGTTCTCTGTACATTTTCTTCATGCAGACTGCATGGAGGATGGGGCTGTGAATGAGGACGTTGCCGTTCAGATGTTTATTTTGGTGGTTTTACCTTCCTGAGAATAGGAAGTTTTAAAGTAATAATCTTTCTAAGCCCTTGTTGTTCATGCCAGAATGGCAAACTATAAACCAACCCAGAACTGCAACCTGGGGGTTATGTTTTTCAGTGTAATCTTTTCAAGTCCAATTTCCTTTCTTTTCCTGCCCCTTGAAGGAACATTTTAAGCAGATGTGACACAGACATGACCTGTGACCGTGGAAAGATTTTAATCCAGTTATTCTTTGTTTTCTAGTCATGATTCCTTGGCGGTGCTAAACAGTGATTGAATCTTTTTGAGCAGTTGAGGATTAGCGCTGGACAGAATAATGCCAAAATAATTATTTGCACCAGATGCAGTGTCATCCTTTCAGTTTTAGCTCTCTTATCTTGTAACTTATCTGACTTACTTTCCTTCGGCGATTATTTTGCCTGTTGTGGGAGCACTTATGTGTCTCACATCACTGCATTGTGTTTATAAGGGTGCCTGTGATAAAGATTTGTAAAGTAAAACTGTCTGCAGCTAACAAGATTATGTTTTGCTTCGTATTTTAATCTTCTCCCGTTGTGTGTTTTCTGCCAGCCAGACTCGGTTTAGCAGAATGACCCAGCCTTGCGCATTTGCTGTTGGCAGCCTGGCTCAGGCTCAGCCAGCACGGGCACGGATCAGGCTGGCAGTGTTTGCTTTCACAAGCGGGTCAGTATTGCCAGCCTCAGGGGATGCTGTGTGAGCCTTAACTTCTGGAATAATGACAATTTTCAGCCTCGCTCATCCTGCTTCTGAGCGCTTTGCCCATCAGCCAGGTTTTTTTCCTTTAGGATGTATGGCCTGCGAGATGCTTGGATTGCAGGATGTTTACTGGCTCCCGTGGTTTCTGCTTGTCATGCTGCAAATACAAGTGAAGGCCCTTAAAACAGCATGTATAGCCCTGGGGCAGGTCGGTGGGAACTCACTTAGCTTAGCTAGTCTGGAGTGATGGCTTGGAGCCTGGAATGGGATGGGGGAAAGAGTGGGGCAGGAAGAGAAATATTGCCTATGGAGAACCCAGAGTTATTAAAACTTAAGAAAACAGTGAAGATCTGCATGCAGAACAGAGATGGGTTTCTCAGTGGACAGCTGGGTTTGGATCCAGAACCCCAGGCTTGGAATTTCCATCTTCAGTTAAGAACAAAGCAGAAAGGACCTCCTGTGATACAGCTCTTCATCTTGTTAGGCTGAAAAGCCACCCAATGCCATAATTAAAATCTGACAAGATAACCCTCAGGGTAGGGCAGGGCTTTGTCACACAGACCCACACTGGCTGTTGGATGGGGAGCCCAGAGGGAGAGTTCCCCAGGGCCCAGCTGTGCCTGCTCCTCCACTGCCTCCCCTGTCCATCCCCATCAGCCAGAGGCCCCTTTGGTCTCTGGGATCCGTGGGGTTGGGGTGTCCACAGCCCCTGCATCTGCCCGTCCTGTACCTTCTGCCATTTATAATCATGCACTTGGCTTCACATTGTTTGTCCATCAGCTTCAGGGTTATTACTGCTGCTGCTGAGCCTGTTCTTCTCTTCAACTTGTAAACTAGTGGTTTGCATTTCTTCTCCATGACGGGGGAAAAATATGTGGTTATTACTATTTCTGTATGCTAAGAGCTGGACGTTTAAGAGGGAAAAAAACAACCCTAATATAAATATTCTGAGAGTAGCGGTAAGCCTGTGAGCTGGCAGACTGCCTCCATCATCTTGGATGTGAGGGAGCAGCCTGTTGGATGCCTTTTCTCCTGGTAGCATGGCTGGGCAACAGGCTGGGGCTCACTGCAGCTTTTTTTGCCTCTCCTCTCTCTCTCCCCTTTGCTTGATCTGCAGCTCACATGGGTATAGCACTTTGCCCACTTCTGTCTAACCTCTATTATGAAAAAAAAATTATTTAATCTTTTTCAAAATATCCTGAGAGATCCAAGTTGAGGGTTCTTCTGAGAGCTGCTGAGTTATTATTATCCTTTAATTTAACCATCTCATCTTTATGCATCAGAATTTTCACAGTTTGTGTCAGGGGTTGTGGCTCATGGGAGCAGCCTGGCACTGTGGCTCAGGTCAGGAGGGTGTTTCAACACCCTGCTGCTCTTACCCAGCTCACAAGGAGAAACTAGAGCCCAGGCAGGGACCTGTGTTCACTGCAGAGCACTGGGGTACCCCTGGGCTCTCCAAAATAGCCTGTGATGCACCCCAGATCCCCCACTGTGGTTTAGCCACAGACTGGAAAGATTGGTCGTGTTTTCATTCTCATCCTGGGGTGTTGCTGGAAAGTCTGGCCACAGCTTTGGTCTGTGGTTCTGTGATTCCTTCTTTGCCTAAGAGGGCACCAGACAGATCAGATGAGGAATTTGGGGGTTTGTGCATTGTGTTGTGTTTTGTTCTCATTTCTGGGTCTGCCTCTGGTGTACTGGTGGTTGTTCTCTGCCGTGTGGTGCCTCAGACCACAGCAGGATGGGAGCAGCCTGGAGGCTGCCCCAGGCTGTGCCTCAGGGAAGCAGTGGCTTGGGGACAGGGCAGTGGAACCCACGGGCAGATGTTCTACCTGCTTGTGAAAGGAATCCATCCCGATTCAGGCTGGAAGCAGAACAAATGGAAAATTCTCAAAGGCTGCTTTTGCTCATATTTGGCTGCAACTGGCAGTGCTGGGGATAGTTCTTTTTTTATTCTTCTTTTTCTTAATTAAGCAAGAATAGCTGTTGCACTGGCAAAGGATGAGTTTTAAAATTAAAATTAGCCTCCAGCCTGAGGCCAAGCATGGACAAATCAGCTAGAGAGGAGAATTTTTCCAGGAGTGGAAATGGGCTTTGTCATAAAAGCTTCAATGCCATCCTGGATGCCTTCACAACTGCTGCTGTGGGCACTGCAGGGGTCAAGGGAGAACTACAAATAAAACAATACTGTAAAGAAGGTTGACTTGCCTTGAGCAAATTGAGGGGGAAGACAAAAACATGGATGGGGAAGATGGAGAAGAGTCTGATTTGCAACTCCTCCATCCTCTTAGTGTTTCCACACCTAATGTGGACCTTCATGCAAATGGGTGGCTACACGTGCTTTTCCTGTGGCCTTTGGGATCTGAGGGACTTGTATCTGTAGGACGCAACCACTTTGGTTGCTGGATTATTTCTCTCTTCCTCCGTTTCCTGGGATTAGTGTTCTGCCAACTCTGTTGCTACCACCTGATGTTGATCTGTCAAGCCAGCTGTTCCCACAACATGTTGTGTCAAGTGAATGTTGGCATCCCTTGACTGTCCTTGCAGGCCACCAAGGGCACCTTGTCCTCAGACTTTGAATTCCTGCTATTATAGGTACCCATGTCTAATTCACCTCCTCCTCCTGCACCACTGTGGGCAGGTAAAAGCTTTTGCTAAGCTTCCTTTTCAACCCAGGTAACACAGAGTCTGCAGCTCATTCCCACTGATAGGTTAGGGGTTTTTTCAGCTGCAGTGACTGGAAGAGCTAGGAAGTTGCAGAAATGTTCTGTCTGGAGAGATACCCCTTTGTCACTGAGATCCATGGGCCTGGAGGCCCTGGGCAGCAGCTGAATGGGAGCTGCTGGGGCCATTTGGTTCAAAAAACAGTGTTAGAGAAGTTGGGGAAAGAGGCAGAACTTCAGCCTGAACTGTCTGTTTTGAACACAAAAGCTTGGGGCTCCTCTGATGTTTAGGAAGTCCATGGGGAAGCCACAGCTGGGTGCTGTTTGTGGTTTCTCCATGCCTCAGTTTCCCTGTGCTGGAGAAAAACTGCTGGGCTCTCCCCATGACAGTGAAGAGTTGTTAATTTTTCCATTTAAGTAAATATTTGTGCTGCCTGTGGGGTCTGGAGAAACAGGTCTGTATAGCTGGAGCTCACTTGGGATAGGAAGATGCCTCATTAACTCTCAATTGAGAGAAGGAGATAACAGGCAGGGATTTTAAGACTCCCTTGTTAAGAGACTCAGAGGTCATAGGAGCTGCCCCAAATCCTGAACCTCCTCTCCCTTTTCCAAGAGGTCTTGGGGTTTTGTGGTTTACTGACTGGCAGCTGACCCAAAAGCCTTATTGCAGTCAGAATGATGGCACGATGCTGGAAAGAGATCAGGCTGCCACATATGCCTTAAGCCAAGTGAGAAGGGAATTGTCCATCTGCATTTACACACCCCATCTGAGCAGAGCAGACAATTGCTTTTTGAGGGATTCCAAGCCTTGCATGTTAATGTGTACACAAATGCATGCAAATCCTGTATTAGGGAGCACAGCAGAGGTGTCGCATGGCCGTGCACGGCCATGGCATTCCGGCTCCTCGCTTTGTCTGGAGAGGGAGCTGCTCCCTGATACAGCTCATTTATTTCCATCCCAGAAGAAACAAGTGAGAAGCAGAGATAAGGACTTGCTGGTGGGTGATAAGGGCTGTTTACTGAGTTGCTTCTTTGTCTGAGAGGAATTTTAACATTTCTGCCACAATTTTAAACTCTGCCTTCGTTCCTGCTGTTGCTGGGAGGCATTGGGCACTGCCCTTTCTCAGAATATCTGTGGAT